TATCTGTTCGTCTCCGGAACGGGGAGTCCATCGACAACGACCTCCCGATCACCGCCCTCCCTTCTCCGATCTCAACGACATTGTCACCCGTAGAATTTACGTTTCCATCCGTAAAATTTACGTCTTCGCCCGTGATCTCCTCGGGATCCGAATCCTCGGACCCCTCCACAGCGACAACAGCGCTAGCTGCGGCGGGCAGAGGGAACACGGCGGCACGACAGAGCGGGCAGTTACAGTGCGATTTGAGCCACGTGTCGACGCAGTGACGTGAACGCGTGCCGCACTTCCTTAGCCAGCCGGATGGTCGCCGTCCGTCGAACTCGCTGAGCAGACCCCGCAGTCGCCTGCCGCGTAGAGGACAGCCCGCGCTGCCTACTGTAGCTCGATCTTGTCATTAGGCCTCGTCGAGCCCCGGCTGCTCGTCTGGCCGCGCGTGTCGAGGGTCACCGCTGGCACTAAGGACTGCTCGGCCGCGGTAGATGCGCGACGATGAGGTAGTACGCGACGAGAGGAAGCGGTGGAGCGACGTGATGACGGCATGAGGAGAGGAGAAGAGGAAGGGGCGTGAGAGGGGCGAGGGTGGCCGGAGGTGGAAGAGGAAGAAACACTGAGGGCAGTAGTAGCTGCAGTAGCCCTGGGAGCAGTCCTTGGAGTAAGGGCCCCAGGCTCCTGGGCTGTTGGCCATTAATTAGAGAGAGAGAGAGAGTGAATGAAGATCAATTTGGGAGTCTGTGCCAAAAGTAGAGAGAGAGAGAGAGAGAAGAACGAGGAGAATATCTATGTGGGTGTTTGGACCAGTATTGTAAACGAATTTGATTGGAGGACCAGAGAGGGAGTCAATTTGAGAGGGTGGGGACCGATGGAGAGCGGCTGCTTGCTTGGCAGCTCCGTTCTAGAGATGATCACGTGGGCCCCAGAGCTAGAGGTGGGCCGAGCGTGTCAGTGACGGGGGGTGATCGGGGGTGACTGTGAGCTGGGTGGCGTTAGTGTTTGGGTGATTAAGGTTTGCGTGAAGGGGTTAATCAAGGAGATTAAACTATTAAGAGAGTCGGTGAGGGAAAGTTGTAGACCGTGTAGAATAAGTACAAGGGGGCTCTGTTTTTTCCTCTGTTTCTCTAAATACTAGTAAGGTTAGGTGTTGAAGAGAAAAATGTTTTCTATTTTGGAAGGAGATGAAGCCCTGATAGAGACAATATAGGTGTGGGAAATGTTTTTTTTTTTAAATTTTAAGAAGCAATTGATGCATTTCCACTCTGTTAATTGACAAATGTATATGTATATATATAGCTTAGCATATGATAAAAATAGGAAGTCCAAATATACTTTTTCACATGGTTCTATTTCCCGCATACATTATGAATACAACATTATGATGGTACGTGATTAAAAGGGGCTAAATTACCAGGTTGATATTCTAGTTAGCCTCCTTTTACAAATAGAGCATTCTAAACAGACAAATCTACATTAAGTCATTTTAAATCAGTTAAATGTGCAACAAACCCAAATTGTCATCCTCAGCTAAATTTTCAGTGAGGAACTGTTTTTTTTTTATTGGAAAAATTTCTTCTACCCCCCTTACCTTTGAAATCTACATCTAACATATCATAATGTGGCAAAAGAGAGGGCCTTTGAAGGGGAGAAACGCAGAGGAAAATGAAAGGGAGCTAAGGAGGAGATGATGAGAATGATGAAAACCATTAATGATGGGTTAGGGAAAAGGAGGGAGAAGATGAGGAGTTGATGACGGAATGTGGACATGAAAAAATTGAAGATTTTAAAAGGGTCAATTTCGCATAACCGCCTATCGTTAGATGTAAATTCAATAACTTTGGGAGATCGTAGGGTAAAAGAAACTTTTCCTGCAAAAAATAACAATTCCTCACTAGAAAATTAGGCATCGACAAAAAATTGACTCTTGTTTTGCGTGTGCATTCGACTCATTTAAAATTTCTTAATGTAGAGTTATCTATTCAAAAATTTCTATGGGTAAGTAAAAGGGGTCTAATTAAAATATTAATTCGATAATTTAGCCGATTAAAAGGGTATTAACAGGTGGTAATAGTGAGCCAATAAGTCCTTGGTTGGATCAGACTAATTCAAATAGATCCTGTAAATATGTGAGTCTTAGATTAGGAATCCTCAAAAGTTGGAATGGACTTCCTATGCTAGTCAAATCCAAAGTAAAATTATTTAAGATAGTCGACTTCCAATTCCGCTTAAGGTCAAACCAAACCTTGCTATAATTTACCAAAAACCCTATATCTCACCCAAAAATGACAAAAGCAAATACTATCCAACAAAAACAAGCCTTCTATCCAAGTTGATGCACCCATTAAGTTTTATAAACACAAATGATATATATTCTCTTGTTAATAATTCACACACGTCATGGCATCATATTGGGTAGGATTTTATCCAAACCCTTGGGTTTCCCTTGGTGGCATTATGAGCTCCTACACATGTCAAATATTTAAACTCTGTTAGGTTAAGATTCCTTTTTATACTCTTTTTCTCTAATGTTTTCACCCTCGCATACTAAAATTCCATATGTTACGAAAGGGCGGATAATACGGTAGTACTATGATATGGCCATTTGATTCTTGCTCGAAAGTATTCAATACATATACATCATGAATGCAAATCATATCAGAATGCTTCACATGCGAGCGGGATATTTTAAGCCCTTTTAGGGGGTGTGAAATCTCCAAATTGCGCTCGCTACTTTTGAGTATGTTAATCAGAAAACTCCATCGCGTTTGTGGAAACGTTCCGATAAAATATGAACTCCGCATTCTATTACACTAACAAATGCATATTCTTCAATTAGTATGCTTAAACGCTCGTAGATACACTGCAAATTATATTAGAATTTAGAACCGTCCACTTTTGAACGGGCCATTCCTAACTAAAGAATTAAATTTATGTTCGAATAAATATACCATGATCGATGATGATCGAACACAAGCTTTGATGCCCTCACTTAGTCCCACCCTCTATTAAATAGCCTCACAATCGCTATCCGCAAAGGCGCGAGTACCTAAAAAAGTCGCAACAAATGGCGGAGGAGCGGACCCTTATGTTCCTATCATTTAGATCCGTCAATCTCTCTCTCTCTCATTTAAAACGTTTTTATTAACAACGTTTTTAATTTGTTTCATGATAAACACGCTTTAATACTAACCGTTTAGATCCTTAATTTCCGCCTATAATTATGCTAGCCGTTTAACAAATTTTGAAAATATTAATCACGTTTTTAATACAAAAAGAAAAGTTCAAAAGAGAAAATTAAAATGTAGCAGATTAAAGGCCCCTCAATCCGGAGCTGCATTCGTGTCCGCAGGTCGTGTGCGCGCGCCACCCGACCCGACCCGAACCCGAGCCCAGTTCAAAAAGTGTTTGATATCATTAATGATTTTTATGTCAGAACCAAAAAATAAGAATGTCATCAACATATAAACATAAAATCACAATTTTGTTGTTATTGTCTATTTTATGATAGCGCGAGGTTGGGGTGAGAATGGGTCGAGTCAGGCGGATCGTTTTAGCGAATTTTGATCAGCCGATGTAAATGATCGTTAAATAAATACAATTTGTAGAACTATTTATATGAGGGCTAGATGTGTAATAGACTTTTGGGATGCATGGAGAATGTGATAAATACAATTTATGGACAAATTTTCAAAACCGACCTCTTTGGGTTTTTAATTGCAAAAAACGACACATTTCAATCTTATTTATAAAAACCGACCCAGTTGGTTGAAACTGGGTCGGTTTTTGAAATTTTTTTTCCCAAACTTCACGGGAGTTCAACTCCCATGAAGTTTTGTTATGAGAAAAACTTCACGGGAGTTCAACTCCCGTGAAGTTTCCCAAAAAAATTTAAAAAAACCGACCTGTTTTTAGTCCCTGGCTGAAAACAGGTCGGTTTTTGTAAATATTTTCAAAACCAGTCGTTTTTTGCAATTAAAAACCCAAAGGAGTCGGTTTTGAAAATTTGTCCTACAATTTATAGAACTAGAGTGTGAAATATAAACGAATATAGTTTAATAAGCAAGGAAATAGATCATATCTATCGTTAAATAATGTTCGTTTACAAACCAAATACTAACAATTGTTCGTTTATTGTTGAATGAACTAGAGAATAGAATATGGCTGGATACCTAAGCGAATAAATAACGAACTGTTTGTTAAGTACTCTATGAGTTCCTCTTATGCAACTAGAGCCTTCTATGCCAATAATCGTGGTTATAACGATGATAATTACAATGACGATGGTTATGGTAGTGGAACTGGTAGCTCTGTAGACAGTGATGCTTATAAAATAGCATATGACGGTAACGATAGAAGTAATTCTTGGGAAAGGTACAGTGATGTCGGAGGAAATGCCAACTATAGTTATGGTGGGAGTCGATGTTGGAAGTTCTTGGTTTGAATGTTGGGTACAATAATGATAGAAGTAATTCTTAGTTTCCCATAAATGAGCGGCCCGTTTATTAAATGGGCGGGCAAAAACCCACCCAGTTAGAAAATCTTAAATGGACCATAGATGTGTAAATGGTCAAAACATGCCCGCCCATTTAATACCCCAAACCCACCCATTTAACACCCCTAGGGCCAAGGCGGTTATGTTGGGAATAGAAGCTGTTTAGCACGAAATTCAGTTAATAATTTTCAGATCACTTAATGAATTAATATTGCATCACAGATAATTCAAACGAAAAGAAATGAGGGTTAGAAATACGGCCTGATGGTCGAGGCGTGCAAGCACTGTCCCAAGAAACTAATTGCCCCCTCTCGTACAGGGCTACGCGGCAAAAGTTCCCGGAGATACAACGACCCTCGGTCAGGCGACCTCCTTCTCGTCGGCACGAGCTTCAAGAAGGCTTTGCGAACTCTTCTAGACTTTCAGGGAACCAGCAAAAGTGTAACAACAGTAAAATGAAGAGGAAGAACAGAGAAGAAGAGAGAATACGTTGTGTTTTTCACACTGTGCTTAACCTCTCGGGGCGAGGTTCTTATATAGGATTTCAATGAGTCATTTGCGCCCATAATTCCCGTTAGCACGTTTTAATTATTCACATAAACTTCGCCAGTTAATACCAGCGGTTTTCCTATCATTTAGATCCGTCAATCTCTCTCTCTCTCATTTAAAACGTTTTTATTAACAACGTTTTTAATTTGTTTCATGATAAACACGCTTTAATACTAACCGTTTAGATCCTTAATTTCCGCCTATAATTATGCTAGCCGTTTAACAAATTTTGAAAATATTAATCACGTTTTTAATACAAAAAGAAAAGTTCAAAAGAGAAAATTAAAATGTAGCAGATTAAAGGCCCCTCAATCCGTTTGTTGTTTTTATCTATTTTATGATATACACACTCATCTGTTTGATTAATTACAAATCCATAAGATAGTATAATTTCATCAAATTTCATATGCCATTGTTTTGGGGCTTGTTTGAGACCATATAGTGATCTAATAAGCTTGCATACTTTCTTTTCTTGTCCAGAAGCTATAAATCCCTCAGGTTGATCCATATAAATTTCTTCATCTAAGTCTCCATTTAAAAATGCAGTTTTAACATCCATTTGATGTATTATTAATTTGTGAATGGATGCTAGAGCTATGAGGACTCTAATGGTAGTAATCCTAGCTACTGGAGAATAGACATCAAAATAATCAATACCAGACTTTTGGGTATATCCTTTAGCTACTAATCTGGCTTTATATTTATCTATTGTTCCATCAGGTCTAAGTTTCTTCTTAAACACCCATTTACATCCTATGGTTTTACATCCTGAAGGAAGATCAGTTAGTTCCCAAGTATGATTTTGAACTATAGATTGTATCTCATTATTTATAGCTTCCTTCCAAAATGGAGCATCTACTGATTTCATTGCATCTTCAAATGTAACTGGAGAATCTTCTACAAGTAATGCATAGAAATCTTCATGGACCTTTTCTATTCTAGTTCTTTTACTTCTCCTAGGCTCCTCTGGACTTTCTAGTGGTCTAATTTGTTTAGAACTAGTTTCACCTTGATTAGAACTAGGATCTGAATTATTAGAGCTAGGGCCTGTGTTGTTTATTCTGGTCTTGTAAGGAAAAATATTTTCAAAGTAATGTGCATCCCTAGCTTCAATTATGGTGTTGTTGGCTATCTCATTAATGTCAGAGTTGATTATTAAAAATCTATTTGCATTACTATCAGAAGCATAGCCAATAAAAATTCCATCTACAGTTTTAGGGCCAATCTTCTTTCTTTTATTCTCAGGTATTTTGACTTTTGCTAAGCACCCCCACACTTTTAGGTGATCTAAATTAGGGTTTCTATTCTTCCAAATTGTGTAAGGGGTTTTATCAGATTTCTTGAATGGAATTCTATTTAGTATATGACATGCAGTCATGAGAGCTTCTCCCCATAAATTTTCTGGCACACCAGAATTAATTAACATTGAGTTTACCATGTCCATTAGTGTTCTATTCTTTCTCTCAGCTACTCCATTAGATTGAGGTGTATATGGAGCTGTTATTTCATGAATAATTCCATTCTCTTCACAGAATTGTTTTAATTCATTAGAAGTGTACTCACCACCTCTATCTGATCTTAGTATTTTAATTTTCCTATCCAACTGATTCTCAACTTCTGCTTTGTATATTTTGAATTTGTTTATGACTTCATCTTTAGTCTTAATTAAGTAGAGGTAACAATATTTAGAGCAATCGTCTATAAAAGTTACAAAATATTTGTTACCCCCTCTAGTTGTTCTTCCTGAATCACAAACATCACTATGGATGAGTTCTAATATCTCAGAATCTCTATCAATAGTTTTAAATGGTTTCTTAGGAAGTTTGGCTTCTACACATATTTCACATTTTTCATCATCTTTTATATTAAGCTTTGGAATTATATTGAGATGCATCAATCTTTTAATTGAATTATAATTCACATGTCCTAATCTTTGATGCCAAGTGATGGAAGGTTCAATATTCAAAGCTATTGGAGATGCAAGAGTAGAATTCTTAACATTCAATTTAAAAAGACCATCACATAAGAAACCTTTTCCAATGAAGTTCAAACCCTTAGTTATTACAACTTTATTTGATTCAAAAACAAGCTTATAGCCTTGTTGCACTAACAAAGATCCACTAATTAAGTTTCTCCTAATGTCTGGTACATGATGGACATCCTGCAGGATCAAAGTCTTATCAGAAGTCAGCTTTAGGTTGATCCGACCTATTCCGGATACAGGAGCCACATTATTATTTCCCATTGTCACAGTTCCTCTACTTGAGACCTGATAGGTGGAAAACAAAGATTGATTAGAGCAAACGTGAATATTAGCTCCAGTGTCAATCCACCAATCATTTGCTTGAAAGGTCATGTTTACTTCAGGAGTGAAGAGAACAGACCTGAAAGCAGCCTCAGCTGGACTGGAAGTCACCATGTTTACTTGTGACTTATTAGGTGGAGGTCCTCCCTTCCTAGGCTTGGGTGGTTCAGTTTTCTTGAAAAAGCAGTCCTTAGCAAGATGGTTGGTTCTTCCACAAACGAAGCAGGCTCGACGTTCAGCTCCTTCCTTCTTTTGAAAGTGAACATGGTTCTTATTTTGATGATAGGGTTTCTTCTTAAATGTTTTATTTTGATTTTGGTGGAAGGGACGTTTCTTGTGTTGGGGAAAGGGTTTGGATTCAACATTGTTTACTTTGGCTTCTTTGGGTTCAGATTTTGTCATATTTTTCTCCCTGAGTCTATGTTGTTCTTCAATTCTAATGGAATTCAACACTTGCTCTAGGGTAAGCTCTCCTTGGGTATGGTTAAGGTTTTTGGCAAAATCTGACCAGGACTCGGGAAGTTTGTCTATAAGACAGGCTATCTGAAATGTTTCATCTAGGATAGATCCATTCACTTTTAATTGGTGAACTATATGTTCAAATTCATGAATTTGCTCATTCATTGGTTTAGAATCTACCATTTTAAATTTGTTAAAATCAGAAGCTTTAAATCTTTTAATTCCCATATCATCTAGACCATACTTTTTCTCTAAGGTTTCCCACAGAACTTTAGCATTAGTGATAGTGTAATATATATCATATAACCTATCAGATAAAGCTCCTAAGATTCTGTGTAGGCAATGATACTCTATTTCTTGAGGTGTTCTTGGGATAGGAATGGAATCTGTGGAGGAAGATGAGGAAGATTGCCTAGTAACTGGTCTAGATGAAGATGGGTTATCTGGTTCTATGGCTGTTATTAGATGTAGAGTTGTTAACCAAAATCTCATTTGGTTTTGCCAACGACGGAAATTGTTCCCATCAAACTTCTCTGGTTTAGCAGACATAATTTCACTTGTAGCCATAATCTGATGATGAATAAATAGTTTTGTTATTATAATGCAACAGAAATATATAAAGCATTCATTCAACAGAATTATCATGCAGTGTAACATTTCGTTTTTAAGTATTGCAGACAGCATTAACATGAAAATCAGAATGTTAATCATGATACTATTCTAAACAGCACAAAATTAGTTTCTTGGATTGTTGGGAATATAAGCTATTTAGAGTATAATTCAGTTAATAATTTTCAGATCACTTAATGAATTAATATTGCATCACAGATAAACGAAAAGAAATGAGGGTTAGAAATACGGCCTGATGGTCGAGGCGTGCAAGCACTGTCCCAAGAAACTAATTGCCCCCTCTCGTACAGGGCTACGCGGCAAAAGTTCCCGGAGATACAACGACCCTCGGTCAGGCGACCTCCTTCTCGTCGACACGAGCTTCAAGAAGGCTTTACGAACTCTTCTAGACTTTCAGGGAACCAGCAAAAGTGTAACAACAGTAAAATGAAGAGGAAGAACAGAGAAGAAGAGAGAATACGTTGTGTTTTTCACACTGTGCTTAACCTCTCGGGGCGAGGTTCTTATATAGGATTTCAATGAGTCATTTGCGCCCATAATTCCCGTTAGCACGTTTTAATTATTCACATAAACTTCGCCAGTTAATACCAGCGGTTTTCCTATCATTTAGATCCGTCAATCTCTCTCTCTCTCATTTAAAACGTTTTTAATTTGTTTCATGATAAACACGCTTAGCAGATTAAAGGCCCCTCAATCCGAAGCTGCATTCGTGTCCGCAGGTCGTGTGCGCGCGCCACCCGACCCGACCCGAACCCGAGCCCGAGCCCGGCCCGGCCGGCGCGCGCGTGTGTGGTGTGGAGCATAACCTTTGTTTTCTTCTAGGCATAGGAGAGAAAGGGAAGACTTATAAAGAGCCTACCTTCCCATCTCTTTTCCAATGTGGGACTAAAGTTTTTCCTCTTTTCCTCTACAAACTCAAGTTTTAAGTTATCTTTATTATAACTCCAACAGGTTATAGCAGAGCATATGGAGATGGTTATGGTACTCAAAACGGTGGTGGCGGATGTGGAGGTGGAGGTGGAGGAAGCCATAATCCTTAAAGAGAAGATTAATTGACACTTAGTATTTACTATGTTACTGTCTTAGTCCTACGTCATGAGGTCCCTTTAGGCTTGAAGCTATGGTACGTTGATTTGTTGGAATTTAAGATCTAATGTCATTGTTAAAGATTGAGTTTGTGTGATGTTCTTGTTCTTTGAAAGTAAAAGCTTCCTTCTTTTGTGTGTTGAGAAATTGACGCACATTAGATTGAGTATTTTTAAAGCACTTTTAGGGGCTGTTTGGTTGTTGTTGGTAAAGTTGTGTATTTATGACACAACTTGGAAAGTTGTTGTCCACCTCATCAATTTCACTTTTATACTTTTCTTTGTTTGTTTTTGATTCCATTGGAATCATAAAACACTTGTTTGGTTTGTAAAATGAAACTTTAATTGTTTGTTTGGAAAGTGTAAAAAGTGGTTCCTACTCAAATGATCATATTGGTTAGAATTATTTTTTATTATTTTTTCCTAACTTCAATGTTAGCTTTCTCCTAAAATCATGTCTTTTTTTCACGAAATCACTTTACAAGCCACATCAGCATATGAAATCACTTTACACTATTTTTACAACTACAAACAAACAATTGAAAGTGATTAAAGCTGACATTGGGACCCACTTTTTTACACTTTACATCCTTTTACATGGTAAAAACATACAACCAAACAGCCCCTTACAAGCTATACATCTGCGTAGAAACAGAAATTTGAGGAATTTATATTAAATATTGACTGCAATGAGCACACCTTGTCCACTCTCTCATTTTTTATTCCTTTCTTTTTGAGAATCATTTATTTTGGCCATCAAAATTTGGGAAGGATAAAGAAGATTACGTCACATATTCAAGTATTGAAGGATACATTGAATGCTAATTTAGAGGAGTTATGTCTAAGAAACATCCTAATGATAAATATTAGTGTATAAATAGGTGAGAGATCAAGTTTAGAAAAAATAATACTAGTTACTATACAAGTCTCGTATAATATTGTAGTACAATATTTAAGATTTTGAGTGCAATCAGCAATTTATATTACTCTTTTCTATAATTTGTTTATTAGATTCAAATTTCACACCAAATTAATTATTTGTTAAATCCCAATAATACCCCCCTAAATCCTCAATTGACTATCCAAAGTCCAACTCTGTCAACCCTCGAACACACAAACACGCACACGCGCTCTCTGTCTTTTTCTCCCGCCATGGCCGCCGG